GCTTCAAGTCTAACGGCTACCGAACAAGAGGTTGGACCTTCCAGCAGTACCAATTCATTTGCCTCGACCTGCATCCTTGAGCAAGGAGTATAGTATGGGTATCGTAAGGCACAGACTCGATGCACAACGGTTGATGGCGTCACGAATTATGCGGCCCTGTCCCAAGACATCAGCTCCATGCATAAGTCACTTGAGTAACAGCTGTAACAGTCAAGTCGTGGTTGTTACGAAGCAAGTCAGAAAAGACAAATGTCCTGCTGGAAGATCCTTCGTTTTGCTTCGTCGTGTCTAGAACGTCGCCTCGGCGTGTGGAGGCGGGCACGCTCGGTGTTGAATAGACAACGTGCCGTGATAAGATGATGCTAGCTATCCATGGAGTTGCCATTGTTCGCAATATTTGTGAATGTTCGCAACTATTGCAACTTTGTATAGCATTTGGAAACAATTGCAGGCCTAGAGGCCCTTCCATATGCTGGCGTCGAAATCTTCGGTAAGTCACTGGTCGACGATGATTGGCTCAACGACAGCTGAGCTACCTTAAGCTTCACCATACCTACGTCGTCCTCATCATGTCATTGCCGAAATCTGATTGGACTTGATATCATTTAATCACTGTCGCAATCCATGACGAGTAAAGGAAAACGAAGAGAAAGCTAGGTCAGCAGCGCATCAACACGTTCTTCTTTTAGCAACTTCTGCTTTGACCTTTGCAAAACCCTCAATACCTACAGATCAGATCAAACCATTCTACGAACACTCCGTGGAGTTATTCTATCAGCGTTATCCTTCATTTAGGAGATCGATACAACCTTGGAAGAGTTGCATCGCGCCCGCACGAGCACCATGAGATGACATGTTGCGCTGCTCGGGAGGCTGGGCGTAAGGAAGAGAGAATTGTGGAACTGGCGTCCCCTACGACTTCACTGAGTCGATCTCAATACGTCTCTCATCGCTTTCAACTCATGCTTGACGACATCCGCGACAGCAAAAGGACTTCAGCAAGTCGCGATGCATGAACAGCGTCGCGACGTCATGCGCAGGGGTGGGGGCGCTATCGCTCAACATGGCCTACCGTCGGAGTTTCGCCGACCCCGGAAGATCTTGAATTTCCCCATCCTCATTTCTCCACGGAGATTTACCCCTGCGACCATCCAGCCTGCACCTTATAGTCTTCAGGAGCCACAACACATCCGATGACATCTCTAGACGAACTTCCAGACGCTTCATATGGCGATGTGAATGTGCCTGATGACACCGCCAGGTCGAACGCACCTGTCACTAAAAGAGCCTGCGATGCCTGCAAACGTCGCAAAGTCAGGGTGAGACATTAAACGCACATGCAACCGGAAGAAGGCACATCTAGAAACTTCGCTAACACTAGTAGTGCGATGCAATATCTACACCATGTTCAAATTGCCATATCTCTCGATTGGAGTGTGTCTACACAATAGCACCTCAGAAGAGAGGACCAAAGCGCAAACGAGATGCGACCACGCAACCGACCTTCAGAATTTCTGATCATGGATCGATGTCAGCTGCAGCTATTCAGGCCAACCAACGCGATGTCCGCTCTGGCAATCCCATAATCCAAGTGCAGACCCCGACAAGCATGTCAAGAGGCGCTTCTTCGAATGCCGCGAGACGCTCACAGTCCTCACCTTACGTGCAACTACAGACGGGGCTTGCACCCCATATCATTGCGGATCAGTTGATCACCTTGTATATGCATTACCTCTTTCCTATAGCACCCACTGTTCACGAACCGTCCGTTCGCGCCATGGTCCCCCTCTTGGAAGGTGATGGAGCCCACGGCGTTCTCAATCCCTCATCAGCATCGCAATCACCAGGGCTCGATTCTGGAGATATTGTGTCATCACGTAACCGCACACTCCTGACAGCAATTTGTGCGTGCACGGCTCTCATGCTACCTGCGTCCGTTTTCCCGATGCGGGAAGAGATTGGACGTCAATTCCTTACAGCCTCACGGGAGACGCTGAAGCTACATCAAGATTACGGTTTGTGAAACGTTCTCAGCGTTCTGAACGAAGACTTTGGCTGACTTGACATAAATCTTGAAGATATCGAGCAGCCCGACTATACCGCTCTGGTGACGAGATTCTACCATGCCAACGCCTTGCGTGCTATTGGAAAGACGAGGTTAGGCTGGCACGTACTAGGGGAAGCCATACGCCTGACACAAGAAATGCGGCTCTACGAAGAATCTTCATTCCAGAATCTTGACCCAGTGGAGGAACATCTGTTGAAGAACATCTTCTGGCAGATTCATGCTGTCGACAGGTCCGCATCCATCCTGATCAGTCGTCCAATATCGCTTCATCGCCTTTGTGTAGGAGCTAAAATCACCACATCTTACTGGCGCCGTCCGTCATCCGATGCGCCTTTGCTGGACTACTCGACCACTCCAAACGCTCTCGATATAGAGAGCATGGTCAGCCAGGGATTCGATCTTTGCCAAGACCTATGGACGAAAGCATCCGACATAATCGTCAAGTTCGACACTCTGGATGTTTGGAACGAAGGCATAACGGATGGCTCTGCGTTGGTTGGCCCTCAACACACGATAGTCATCACCGACTACCTCGAGTTCATCGGCATGATCGATCACTTCCGATTTGATGTCAAGGTGCCGGACACCACGAATACATCTGATCCAGCAACCATGGCCAGGATTCAACGGGCCTTTGACATTCAAAGAGTAAATCTATGCGTCACCTACTACTGTCTGAAGCTAGTGCTGCTCCAAAGATTCTACGATGGCGGAGTAGCTGAGCACTTAGGCGTTCCTGGCCGGGCATACGGGATTGCGTTGAGAAAGATCGATGTCGCCAGTGACATGGTCCGCATACTATCAGAAGCATCCTTCGAGTCCCTTCAAGTAAATGGAGAGCCTTGCGTAGGTTTATTTTTATGTTTATCCAAGCAGTATCACTGACAACATCGCAGGTGCAAATGATTCGACGCATGGGCGCGACTCTACTCAACATTGTACAAGAGACCGATAACACATCCCTGAAGGAACGCGCGAAGTCATTGTTCCTCACCCTCTTGGATGTGCTGTCGAGACTGGATTCCCGCGTCTCCCAGGAGCTCGACCATAATCGCGGCTTTTAGACTACTCGCCAGTGTACTCAAGACGTACTATCAGTGTACAGCGCAAATTCACGCTTTCGAAGCGTTCGATGTACGACGCACCCTCGGATCGTATCATGCCCTCCTTTTGTATTGCCACTTCTTGTGCAATGGTACAAACTCGTAATTTCGCCCGTTGAACTTACAAAGAGCCGTCATGGCTTTCGCATGCTGTCCGTGAAACCTCAGCTATACATGAGACTCGGGAAGGTGTAACGTGCCTGTGGTGGCCATCAGCACTGGGGGCGGTAGTTGAGCAAGGGCGGGCACGCGACATCCCCAGTCACTTCTAATGTATGATTCACCATAGCCGGCGTGTACGCAAGACCATTGGCCGGCAACGATCATGGCATCCTAGCAGGAGTGGTGTTGTCGCCCAACCTACGAAACAAGGCCAATTAATCCACCACCAAGTCAAACACATACCCCGCAGTTTGTCGGATATGATTTCCGCGACACGTACGGAAGCGCGCGACTCACCAAGGCCGTATCCAGTGGGTCGATGAGCTTTTCTCATGAAAGCAACACACTGGCGCTGTCGAGGACCCGGACGAAGAGTCCAGCAATATAATGCAAACGACCAAGAATGTCTACCTTGAGACGACCGATCTTGTCTGCGATACAGTCATCGTCAAATGCAGCAATGAGGATACCGACACTTATCGCAGCATTCGGTACTTCCCGATCGCATGCGCTTATCTCAACGGCACCGTTAGCTGTCGTTCGATTCGAATGATCCAAGGATGCGGGAATAGGGATGATGCTGCCGACCAAAACAAGCTCCAAACCATAGTTGATCGGAAGCGGGAAGATGAGAAAACATCCGTCCCGAAATAGTCGACCCACCGATCCGAGAGAAACCCGAAGAAACATCTACCAAGCCAACGTTCGCTTTCGCTGCCCAAGATCGCGAAGACCTAGGCTTTCATGATAACGTTTGTGATCCCTGGTCCGTATTGGTGCGCTTTTGTCGTGGGCAGTCGCCTCATCCGATCCCTCCAACATTAAGCATCATCAGTGTGGTAACGAAAAGCCAGAGAAAAAAATCGCTCGCAACCTGAATAATGCGCTAGAACTACATGGAAACGTCGTTGCAGTCGCAATACTTATACTCGCGTCGCGGAGCCACCTACTCGTCTGCACTCGCATCAGCGTTCGAGGTAGCCTAGAATTCCTCCACGGCGAAATGGCGACCCCCAAATCATGCATACGCGCTACTCACGATTTGTCAACTGCCGGGGATTGTGGCTCGCGGATTACAGCCGAATGGGCGGTGGAGCGAACGACTCCGTTACGCTTCTGGTATAGCGCTCCATATTTCTCCGTGGTGAAACGGAGGCGCAAAACACGGGACGCAGATTTCTCCATGGAGTAATACAGCACGACAGAGTGGGATTCCATCTTAAGGCAGTAGCAATCCAACCCGACACCGAACACCGAATCCACTTTGCTATCAAGCCCGCAATTGGTAATTCTCTCCGATCGGAACCGCTCGACGCGACTCAGTCGACGTCGCGTCATCCTCCGAACTTTGCAAACCTCTCGATCGCTGTCTCGCTGTCTCACTGTGCACGCTGAAAGCCTGAAGCATGTTCCGGAATCCCATCATACCTGGCTTCGCTCCTGATCCATCTGTCGTCCTTGTGAACGGAATCTACTATCTCGCAACTTCTTCTTTTCATCTGTTCCCAGGTATTCCGATATATGCATCAACAAATCTGCAAGACTGGAAACACATTGGTTCGTTTCTGTGCGCATACTGCAAAGATGTGGGCATCGGCTGAAGCGTTCTAGGAAACGCAATCAATAGATCCTCACAACTCGACTTGAGCAATGCTGTCACAACCGCCATGCCGCTTAACGACGGCAATGTCATGGTAGCATCCGGAGGCCTATTCGCACCCACAATTCGTTATCACGACGGCGTCTTTTACATCGTCTGTACCAACTGCTATCCCGAAAGCAACAACTGGCGAACAGACAATTTCTTAATTCACACAAGAGACATCTGGTCCGATGTTTGGAGCGATGCGATACCCTTTGAGTTCCACGGCATTTACCCTTCTCTCTATTTCGATGACGATAATCGCGCCTACATTCAAGGCTCATGGATGATGAATCGCCTAAGGGAGCCTACTTGCACGATCAAGCAGTTTGAGATCGATGTGAATACCGGACAACCTTTATCTGAGACCCGAGAGATCTTGGGTGCCTTTCCAGATGGCGATGCCGAAGGCCCCCACATCTACAAAAAGGATGGCTGGTATTACTTACTTGTAGCACAAGGCAGAACGTTCGCACATCACATGCTATCAATAGCACGCTCGAGAGATATATGGGGCCCGTATGAGCAATGTCCGCATAACCCTGTGCTGACTGCAGATGGCACGAACGAATATGTGCAGAACATTGGTCACGGTGAGATCTTTCAAGATGTGAATGGTGAATGGTGGGCTGCAGTCTTAGGTGTGCGTGGAGACCAGGAGTCAGCACCGATGGGTCGCGAGACCTTTCTCACAACAGTCGAGTGGCCGCAGGATGAATGGCCCACGATAGAGCAGCCACAGATGTCGTTCAGCACACCGCGCACAGTGCAGATGGGTTTCGCCGCTGCACAGTTGCTCAAGAACGTCCGACAACTCAAACCTCACATTGAAGACGTATACCTGCACAAGCCTCTACGACGACCCTACAAGAAAGCTTCCTCAATAACCCTCACACCCACCACCTCAAGCCTCTCCGCCGCATCAGCACCCCTAGCCCTACTCGCCCGCCGCCAACGAAGCATAACAACCATCGCAACAGCCACCGTCCTCCTCGACAACGAAGCCACCCACTCCAACGCCATCGGCGGCCTAACCATCTACAAAGACCCCCTCCGCCACGCCAGCATCTCCGTCTGCCTCTCCACCCGCCTCATCCACGTCCACTTCGTCGACGCATCCAAAGACTACGAATACACTGCCTCCTACCCCGAACCCATTTCCCGCTCTTCCACCGCCGTCGACCTACGCATCATAGCCGCAGAAGAGCGGTATGCACTCGAGTTCCGCGACCCGGAAAGGGATAGGCGGTGGAACCAGGTCGATGTGGTGGATACTAGGATGTTGAGTGCGAGGGATTTTACGGGCACGGTTATGGGTATCTTTGCGCTGACGGATGGGAATGCGACGCCGAGTGTTAGTCCGAGGGATGGCTGTGATAGTGGGAGTGATGTTACCGATCAGAAGGTTACGTTTCGCGATTTTGAGGTCAGGCGGTAGATGGATGTTGAATGGATGCGGTAATGGCAATCAGCATATCAGGCGTGGCGCAGGGATGGACAGCGGAGTTTTTCTTTTCTTACGGAGGCGTTGGTTGTATGGAAGGGTGCGTCCTTATCTTGCGTGGTTTGAGAGCTGACGCTGGCGTTCTGGGTGTTATCAAAGGTGTCAGGGGTGATTAGGTTGGAGGGTCTACATGGGGTTGGTTTGTCATATCTAAGCGTTTGCAGGGTCATATCGGTAATGTTGTAATGTGTTGCATGAAGAGATAGTCTTTTCATACATAGCTTACTATGCGAATCTACTTGGAGTGCGCTTGTTGGAATAGTGCTTTTACTCGCTTGCCTGCTTGACTGAATAGTCCTGTCTTTGGCTTAACGTAGTCGCGTGATACGATACCCGTATCCCCCGTTTCGTTTGACGTCGCCGTTACCATGACAGACTCGCCTTCGTCATCCTTCCTCTCTTTCTTCTGCTTCAACACTTGACCCCCATCCAAAACCTCCCACCTATCCCCCCTCTGCTCAACAACAACCGTCTTAACCGCCCTTCCCTTTCCGCCACTTCCCGCTATCCCCCCATAACCCTTCTGATTCGACACAACCAACGTATCCGTCCCTTCATCCCGAAACGCACAACTGTAATGTGTATGACCAAACGCCCACACTTTCACAGCTGGTGACGTCCAGCACGTCTCTTGGGACAAATCAGACACGAAACCAGAGTTCATCGTGCTAGAGCTATGTCTTGGATCAGTCGCGCGAGGGTCGATGGTGGGGCAGTGATGTGTCGCGATGATGACGCTTCGATGCGGTTCTTCCGCTTCAATCTGATTGACTTGAGCGTTCAGCCACTCCAGATCACGCGCATGCTCTGTGCAGCTTTTCTCCGGCGTCCAGTCCTGTATTCCGCGCTCTTCATTGTAGTCTGTCATTCTAGATCCGACTTCAGCGGCTTGCTCAGGCTGGATCTCGCTCCAGAGCGTGCAGCCTAGGATTGTTACTTTCTCATTGAGATCGTAGCGGTCGCGGAAGAGGAGACGGAAGCGACCGCCGTAATCTTGTTTTGCGGTATCTTCCAAGTCTCGCATGCTTCCGACGGCATGCTCAAGAGTTGTTTGGTACGCTTCGTGGTTGCCGAGGATGTAGAATATGCGGCATCCCCGGTTTTGGTCGAGGAGATTGCGGAGGAATGTGAAGAGGCCTTCGTGTCGGACTAGGCCTATGTCTCCAAGTAGAAGTAGTGCGCTGCCGGCGACCTTGAGGTTGATGTGTGAGTATTGTGGGTTGTTCATGGGGGTCTCCAAGTGGAGGTCGGAGACGATTTGGAGTTGGGGCGCGAAGAAAGTCATGATGGGGTGTTATGTGCTAATTAGAAGTGCGAGCGAGGTCCTCTTGTATAAATCCATAGAATGCGCTAGGAAGTATCTGGTATCTTGGTTGTGGGGTTCTTTGGTAACCAATCGATAACTAGTCAAACGTGTACATCATCGCAGGTACGACGCAGGATATAACAACAAACTTCTGCTTACTTGCTTTCGCACTTATAAATAATGCAGCACATAAAGGAATAGCAGAGCTTTGAAATCGTGAATCTCAGTTGCAGGGTATCTATACAAAATTTACGCGGCCCAGAACGCCAGGAAAGCTCAGCTCCGCTCCTTCTACTTCCTAAACAAACTCGTCGCACTCCCCGCCAGCTGATTAGGCTGAAACTCCATATCATTCCCGCCCGCAAACAGCGGCACACTATCATCATCCACCCGACTCCTCGGCTTGAGCTCCTCGCCCCTAGCGATCTCAATCGTGCTAATAACCGGCAGCGCCAACAACAGCAACGGTAACAATTGACCGAAGCTCCAATTCCCTTCACTCGGTCCAACGAGATGAACAGACTCAGGTGGATGGCCGAAAGCCTGGGATTCCAGAACCACGCGCACGGTAGCGCCGACGCCCATGGCGAGACAAGCGAAGAGACCGACGACTTGGACGGTCTTGAGCCATTTGGGATTCGATCGGTTGTGGAGGTACCATGTTGCGAAGCCGAAGGTAATGACTTGGCCTGCGATTACGGCGATGGTGCCTGCAATGGAAAGCGCTGCATTTCCGCTTGTTCCTTTGCTTTCCACCTCCCAGACACATGCAATGGGTAGTCTGGGCTCCATATCTTTCATGACCGTCTGCAGAATGAACACCCCGCTCAAAATGCCCAGGAACATGTTCACTAACATGAGTATCTGTCTAATCCACCGCAGCACCCAGTCCCTCTTGAAATCGTTCACGAGCGCGAGTAACGTAGCGAGATTTGTGGCGGTAGATAGCAAAGAGAGGAGCCAGATGATAAAGAAGTGGTATGGCACCATCGTTTTCATCTTTGCTAGCCCAACCGATTGGATGCCGATACCCGTTAGAATCTGTTGGTCGGAGAAGGATTGGAGGAGCTTTCGCGAGATGGGAGCTGAGGTGGATTTTCGCAGGCCGAGCAGGATGATGGTAGCGGATAGAAGGATGGAGAGGATGTTGGTTATTATGAAGGAGAGGAGGGTCTGTGAGGTTTGGAGTTAGTTGGGGGGAGAGAGTCGGATTGGGGCGGGTGGACGTACGCCTGCGCCTGCTACTCCCGCGTCGGTATTTGTCGTCTCGGGGACGGTGGAACAGTTGAACGCCATGGTGACGTCTTGCTCTTCTCTGTCCGAGTGGTTGTGGTGGTGTCGAGGGAGTGTAAGCGCGTCAGGCCAGCATGCGCGGAGTTGTGTTGTGTTGTCGCAAAGTCCAAGTCCAAGTCGCAAAGTCGCAAATACGCGCAACAAACAGATGCCGTTAAAGAAAGAGTCTCGACTCGCCGCGCAAGTTCACCAGGAAAGTAACAAGAGTCCGAGACCGAAAGTGAAAGTAACAGAAAGCAAGAACCTCAGCACAGCCTCACACAATGTCATCATACCCTACCAGGGTCCCTCCTTCCATCGCATCTCCCATCTAATTTAAGGCATGTAGGCGAATGCGCCTTTCCCATAACTATCCACCATCCCAGGGGTAAAAAGATCGACAGCGTGAAACAAGGCGGCACTGCCGGCCAATAGCCGATCTTTGCCCGTTGACATCTGTGGCGTAAGCGCGCAATCTGCGACAGGTGCTGGGCCAGTTAGAGATGCGGGGTAGGATATTCCATGGATGGACGATGGTGGTGGGTCATGCGTTGGGAGGACGTTGGGATGCGTGGTGAGAGACAAGTGGAGTTGAGAGGTGATTTTAGGTGCGAGGGCGCTTGCGCAGGGGAGAGGTGCGCGTGCAGGAAGGGCCCGCGACCATCCGCCGGCGTGGCGCGTAGCGTGGAGGCGGTTTTGGGGATCTCAACTTTGTCGGCCAATTCTTCATTTTTTGATATACAACGTTCATCAAGGTCGCGAATGCTTGTACAAATTGGCTATCGCTGAGTTGCATACGGTGGTGCAAATGGTCTAGCAATGCTCATGCATCCGTCGCCCGTCTCGTCCACCTCATTCCTCCGAAGGCGCGGACGCCGGCTTACTTGTCGGCGCATACGCGCTCCTCCCCCTAATTTTCGCACCTTGGTAGTAAAACCAAATTGGCACAGGTATCATGGCAGCAGCGAAACAGCCTAGTAAAGTGGAAGCCCATTCAACGCCCATACCCTCGAACATCTCTTTCGCGAAGAGAGGAAACGCTGCCCCCCATATGCTACGAAGGAACGTATTCGCTGCGATCGCCGAAGCGGCAAACTAGATGACATGTCAGCACGAACTTGGATATGTGGAGGCCCGGGTTCTTCTTACCATGAGATAGGCGTCGATGATATAGTTGAACGACTGCAAAAAGATACTCATGATGCCAAATCCAATTAGCAGACCAGAGCACGTAGGCACAATCCAATGGATATCCGCGCGATACCCAGTCCATCCAAACCAGAACAAGCCTCCCGCAAAGGCGACACCACCCACGATAACCTCCGGTAACCGCCACTCAGGAATCGGGACGTTGTTGTTAGCAGCGAGCTTCTTCTGGTACCCCGGCTGCCTCGCAAAGATAAACACGCCAGCGAACAACTCCCCGATGATCATCCCAAAGAACGGCAGACCACCCACACCCGGGTTCATACCATGGACGCCCTGGAATACGATCGGATATGCTGTGAGAAAGAGATACAGCAATCCGTAGATGAAGGCGATGTAGATACTGAGCAGCAGCACGATACGCTCTGTAACCAGCATCCGAAGCGGCCTCGAAAAGTTCTTCTCGATGAGTTCGCGGAAATCGACTTCGATCTCTTCTTGCTTGGCGTGTATGCCCCAGTTCTTTGTGCGGCGACGGAGTTCAGCGGCTTTGGCGACGAGGATGATGGGTGGGTAGGATTCGTCGAGGAAGAGGAGCATGAGGGTGAAGGAGGCGAAACCCATGAAGGAGCTGTGATGGGATGGTTAGTATACACGTTCCTTTCAGAAAGGAGGGAGGAGGGAGGAGGGAGGGGGGAAGTGCTCACACAAGGTACTGAGTCCATCGCCAGGAATTCGACATGACTATGAAGCCGCCGATGAAAGGAGCGAGGAAGGGACCTGTAAAGACCATTACGCTGAATAGGCAGATTGCTATTCCGCGCGTTCTATTGGCGAACATGTCTGCGAAGACTGCGGCGACAATCTATGTCCATATTAGCATCTCTGTTTGAACGACCAGGATCTCGCACAAGTACTCACGGTAATTGGACACGCGCCAAAGAACCCCGCGAAGAACCTACAGATCAAGATGGTCTGCAAGTCTTTCGCCGTCGCACACGCAATGTTGAAGACCGAGAAGCCAAACGATGCCACCACAAGCGGGAGCCTCCGTCCCTTGAGTTCTGAGAAAGGTGCCCAAAGGACGGGTCCCGTCGCAAAGCCTAGGATGTACAACGATGTGCCCAGCGTAGCGACCACATAGCCGACGTTGAACTGTAGCTCGATAGCTCTCGTCGCAGTACTGAATATCGAACTAGCGAATGACGCTGTGACTGTCGTGAAGCCCTGGAATTATAGCACACAACGTCAGTTTATATCCATCAACTGAAGGCTAATGCGTCCTGTTTCCGGACGATCCAACGTACCAGCATAAGCGCAGTAAACAACTTCTTCCCCAACGCCCAATTCTGCGCATGCAACGGGTCGTCTTCCCCATCGAACTCGACGACATAGTCTTCCTGGTTGCCTAGAGGAGGAGGGTACGGTTTTCCTGCGCCGAAAGCTGGTAAAGGGCGAGAACGCGTAGACCTGCTGCGGAAGACACCGAGGCCACCACGGGCGCCGTCGCCGACTGTTTGCGAATGCTGGCTCTTTGACGTGTGAACGCGGTTCAAGGACGAGGCATCGTGTCGGAGGGCTTCGACGTCGGTCTGAGGATTTGTTTGGGATGGGGAGGTACGTGAGGTCGAAGTGGCCGCTGTGCTTGAAGAAGATCCTGTACACAGTACACCACCGTCCTTCTCGTTGTCTCTCTCTAGAACTCCGGCCTGGACATGTGCGAAGCTGTCTGGGCTAGCATCTCGCTGTGTCATCTTCTGCGTGTACCGATTCTTTGTCGTCCGATATGATTACAGTGAGTCCGGTGCAACAACGGATACTGCGACCCGATGCTATACATACTCCATTCTTCGCACATGTTTAGCGGTCAGTATACTATGTTGAATGTCCGTTCCTCCGCGCCGAACTCCACAACAATGTTGATCCCAGAGCGCGAGCATCGGGGATATAAAAATGCACCGACGAAAGAGACATTGTTATTCGCTAGAGCGGAACATGCGAGTCTTGCGAGTCATAAGGGATGTTGTCAATGTTTCGTATAAATCCTATGCTACTTTATATCCTCAACTGTTGGGAATCCTACAGACTGATGGTGCTGATCGCGGCGTTTGGAGCGCGTTGTGTGGTTGGTGTTGATGGATGGTTAGCCATCATGGCACCGTGGAACCCCCGAAAGCACATCGACCATGACTAAGAAAGCAGCGAGCCAAGCCTCCCCTTCAACCTATATATATAGGGGGCATACTCTCGCGCCGGACCTTCTCCATCGATATTATGCATTCAACGTAGCAGTCGCTGATGTCTACGTTTGGCAGCCCACCATTCTCCGCGTCGCGGCCCAAATGCTAGGACGTGTCGTTGCACTAGCCCACTTACCGTTACTACTCGACTTGGGCAGTACTTATACCAGCCGCGCGGTCATTAGGCTTACTGTTACCACGTCCACGCCTGTCCTATGTGATACATCAAGTCACAAGTGCATATAAGACAAGATGCGTTGTTGTCCCGCAGTGGGAGGTGGTATCTCTACCATGTCGTGATTTTTGGTATTCGTCTAGCAACTGCTCATAAAGACGTGAAACCGTCCGTCATGATCATGCATAGTCTTCATCAAAAGGTCATAAAAAGGGCGCGCCAACAAGAAGCATCTACAACTTCTGCATGGCAACGATGTCGGTGGACTGGACGTGGTCCTCGAACTCTTCGATCTGTTGCTGGAGCTCGTCGAGCGAGACCTTGTCGTCCTCGACGACCAAGTTGATCTGGAGCTTCTTGATACCGAAACCGACAGCAACAAGCTGGGAGGCACCCCAGACGAGACCCTCCTTCTCGATGGAAAGAACGTTCGCCTTGAGCTCGTCCATGTTTGTCTCGTCATCTGGAAAAAGTTAGCATACAAGCCCATTGACAAATATGGGAAGACACATACCCCATGGCTTAACGTCCATAGTGACGATAGACTTGGCAGCAGGCTTGACCTTGCCGGCCTTCTTCTTGTTGTACTCGGCCAGACGCTCCTCCTTGATCCTGGCAGCCTCGGCGTCCTCCTCCTCGTCGTCACTGCCGAACAGGTCGACCTCGTCATCGTCGTCCTCAGCCTCCTTCTCAGGTGCCTTGGCGGGGTTGAGGGTGAGCTCGGAGGACTCGGGGCCGTAGGCGGTGAAGTCCTTGGTTGGGTCACCAGGAAGGGAGTCGAACTCGCCCTCGAAGGTGAGCATGTGGTTGTACCAGCGCCATGCGTATGGGTACTTCTCAGGCGCGGGGATCTGCTTGATTTGCTGGTAGACCTTTACATCGGCCTGCGATGGGGAGTAGCTGGGGCATGTTAGCCAATGACTCCTTCATGGTGTCTGGATAAGAGGCAGAAGGAGGGAAGATAGATCAGAGTTGCGACAAGCGCGTGGTTTTGTATTCAGATAGCGGGGTCTTAAGCCGCCTCATTAACACGGACCAATTGTTCTCATCATGAAAACTTGGGGAGTGCGACGCAATGCAGGGAGGGTACAAAGCGGAGGGAGTTGTATGGCGGGGTAGGAACTTACCCAACAATGTAGCTGCGGGTCTTGACATAGTTGTTCAGGAGAGTCAGGCCTGCTTCGGAAACGAGATCGGTGAAACCCATAGTTGCAGATGTGGTTGCGAGTATGGTATGGGAGAATCGAAGGTGTTGTGTTGAGAGAAAGAGGGACGGCTGCAGTTTTTGATGGAGGCTGGAGGAAATTGCACTGAGAAAAACGCGCTAGCCTTGGCGCTAGCACGTGCCCCTCCCTGCCCGCGACAGTCACGAACACGAAGAGTCAACCAAGTCATACTCGTGCCAATCTTTGTGCATCTAGATCTTGCATATAATACCCACACGAACACATTCTCGTTTGCGC